TATTGCATAGCTTTTATCGCGGGCTTTGAGCGCGGCGACCGAATCAAGAAATTCCGTAACGAAAATAAACCTATCACCCCCACTACGACCGGCACAGCGGTGCGGCTTTGAAAGCCGTGGAAGGTTTTATCCGACCCTACTCGTATTAGTATTAGTATGAAGCGGAGTTAAATAAACGTCTGCGGACTGGAACGTTTATTCAATTCGAGAACTAGAAGAGCTTTCTCTGGCTTCTAATAAATTGGTATCACAAATGTTCCTGGCTAGCGTAAATATTAGATATTAATTTTTTTGCAAGATTTAAAAAATATTAATTTTTATTTTATCAACCTATAAACCTAACACCCTCAAAAAATCGAAAAATCGAAAAATCGAAAAATCGAAAAATCGAAAAATCGAAAAATCGAAAAATCGAAAAATCGAAAAATCGAAAAATCGAAAAATCGAAAAATCGAAAAATCGAAAAATCGAAAAATCGAAAAATCGAAAAATCGAAAAATCGAAAAATCGAAAAATCGAAAAATCGAAAAATCGAAAAATCGAAAAATCGAAAAATCGAAAAATCGAAAAATCGAAAAATCGAAAAATCAAAAAATCAAAAAATCGAAAAATTAAAAAATTAAAAAATAAAAAAATCGAAAAATCGAAAAATCGAAAAATCGAAAAATCGAAAAATTGAAAAATCGAAAAATCGAAAAATCGAAAAATCGAAAAATCGAAAAATCGAAAAATCGAAAAATCGAAAAATCGAAAAATCGAAAAATCGAAAAATCGAAAAATCGAAAAATCGAAAAATCGAAAAATCGAAAAATCGAAAAATCGAAAAATCGAAAAATCGAAAAATCGAAAAATCGAAAAATCGAAAAATCGAAAAATCGAAAAATCGAAAAATCGAAAAATCGAAAAATCGAAAAATCGAAAAATCGAAAAATCGAAAAATCGAAAAATCGAAAAATCGAAAAATCGAAAAATCGAAAAATCGAAAAATCGAAAAATCGAAAAATCGAAAAATCGAAAAATCGAAAAATCGAAAAATCGAAAAATCGAAAAATCGAAAAATCGAAAAATCAAAAAATAGAAAAAATTGAAAAATCAAAAATCGAAAAATCAAAAAATCGAAAAATCTAAAAATCGAAAAATCTAAAAATCGAAAAATCGTAAAATCCAAAAATCGAAAAATCGAAAAATCGAAAAATCGAAAAATCGAATAATCGAATAATCGAAAAATCGAAAAATCGAAAAATAGAAAAATCGAAAAATATAAAAATCGAAAAATCGAAAAATCGAAAAATCGAAAAATCGAAAAATCGAAAAATCGAAAAATCGAAAAATCGAAAAATCGAAAAATCGAAAAATCGAAAAATCGAAAAATCGAAAAATCGAAAAATCGAAAAATCGAAAAATCGAAAAATCGAAAAATCGAAAAATCGAAAAATCGAAAAATCGAAAAATCGAAAAATCGAAAAATCGAAAAATCGAAAAATCGAAAAATCGAAAAATCGAAAAATCGAAAAATCGAAAAATCGAAAAATCGAAAAATCGAAAAATCGAAAAATCGAAAAATCGAAAAATCGAAAAATCGAAAAATCGAAAAACCGAAAAATCGAAAAATCGAAAAATCGAAAAATCGAAAAATCGAAAAATCGAAAAATCGAAAAATCGAAAAATCGAAAAATCGAAAAATCGAAAAATCGAAAAATCGAAAAATCGAAAAATCGAAAAATCGAAAAATCGAAAAATCGAAAAATCGAAAAATCGAAAAATCGAAAAATCGAAAAATCGAAAAATCGAAAAATCGAAAAATCGAAAAATCGAAAAATCGAAAAATCGAAAAATCGAAAAATCGAAAAATCGAAAAATCGAAAAATCGAAAAATCGAAAAATCGAAAAATCGAAAAATCGAAAAATCGAAAAATCGAAAAATCGAAAAATCGAAAAACCGAAAAATCGAAAAATCGAAAAATCGAAAAATCGAAAAATCGAAAAATCGAAAAATCGAATAATCGAATAATCGAATAATCGAAAAATCGAAAAATCGAAAAATAGAAAAATCGAAAAATATAAAAATCGAAAAATCGAAAAATCGAAAAATCGAAAAATCGAAAAATCGAAAAATCGAAAAATCGAAAAATCGAAAAATCGAAAAATCGAAAAATCGAAAAATCGAAAAATCGAAAAATCGAAAAATCGAAAAATCGAAAAATCGAAAAATCGAAAAATCGAAAAATCGAAAAATCGAAAAATCGAAAAATCGAAAAATCGAAAAATCGAAAAATCGAAAAATCGAAAAATCGAAAAATCGAAAAATCGAAAAATCGAATAATCGAAAAATCGAAAAATCGAAAAATCGAAAAATCGAAAAATCGAAAAATCGAAAAATCGAAAAATCGAAAAATCGAAAAATCGAATAATCGAATAATCGAAAAATCGAAAAATCGAAAAATAGAAAAATCGAAAAATATAAAAATCGAAAAATCCAAAAATCCAAAAATCGAAAAATCGAAAAATCGAAAAATCGAAAAATCGAAAAATCGAAAAATCGAAAAATCGAAAAATCGAAAAATCGAAAAATCGAAAAATCGAAAAATCGAAAAATCGAATAATCGAATAATCGAAAAATCAAAAAATAGAAAAAATCGAAAAATCAAAAATCGAAAAATCAAAAAATCGAAAAATCTAAAAATCGAAAAATCGAAAAATCTAAAAATCGAAAAATCGTAAAATCCAAAAATCGAAAAATTGAAAAATCGTAAAATCGAAAAATTGAAAAAAAAATTCCGTAACGAAAAAAACCTAACACCCCCACTCCGACCGGCATAGCGGTGCGGCGTTGAAAGCCGTGCATCGTCTAATGTCGTTTCAGTTCGGCAGACTTCGGCCAGGTGTTTGTGTGCGTGCGACTAGACGTATGCGTGTAGACTAGCTGCTAACTGCTCATAACTGATTCTATCTCTTTTAGACACAATTTCGGAAAAATTGAATTTGAAAATGAATAATGATCCACAACAATCCACAACAAAATATGGGACCACCATTGACGCGGTATTTTCCAGATATTTAGAGGATAACAAGTCTCAAACTTATGTTTCTTATTTCAGTTACCATAAACCTATATTTTCAATGATAAAAATTCCTGAATAACCTACATGTATTGTAAGATAATAAAAATATTTTGAACAATATTAACTTCTCATTTATTCAATACAAGAAAAAAAATTGTTTTTCTATCGGTCACCACGCTAAAAAAGTGTAACTTGAATAACTATCAAAGAAAAAACTTGAATTAATATCAAAGAAAAAAAAATACTGCATAAATAAAATAAATAAATAATTATAATTGCATAAGTTGATAAAAATGCTATGCAATAGCTTTACCGCGGCAGTCCCCGAGTGCCACACGTATTTTTTATTTAATAAATATATCTAATTAAAACCTTTTTCTACAAATTATTACAAATTATGATGAGTATTTTTATATGTTTTGTTACTTTCTTTTCAATAACTTTTAAATAATTATGTGTGACATTTACAAATATTACTGTCTTTTTTAAAATCTGGTCACATATGAAGGAACTACGTTCAGGTTTTTATTTGTTTTATAACTTTTTTCTGATAATTTCCACTTAGAAATATTAACTGAAAATATACAAGTATTTTTAAGTCGTGGGTGTGAATAAAAGAGCTCATTTTGTTTTTATACAGATAAGAGTACACAATGTCATATAAAAAGATTACGATGGTAATTATGCAAAATCTAGTGGGTAATACAAGTGATATACCTTTAAATACTTCAAATTTTGCTGACACTTAAGAGGCAGTGTTTGCAGGTAATAAAAGATTATTTTGGTTTAAACAAAAAAAGTAAACAATTGTTTTTATTTTTAATTTTTTTTAGACAACGGATATCCTGGGATTCAAGAAGTTGCCAATGTCTCCCCAAATAACATTACACATCACAAACACTGATATACCTTCAAATATTCAAATATTTAAAACTCCTATACAAACAAATATTGTTGTTCAGGAAGCAGTGGTTGCAGGTAACTAATTTGATTTCTAACAATTTTTTCATCATCGAGTAGCTCATCTTCGTCAGTTCCTCCTCCAGTTGGAAGTTCTTATCTATGTCAGATCCTTATGGCAGCAATTAGAAGGTGAGTCAGACATTGAAAATAATGTGTCTGTCGAAGAAACAGCCAGAAAAAGAAAAGTAAAAAATCCAACTTCTGTTGAAAACAACGCTAAGAAAATCCAGAACTATGGCAGAAGAAAGTAAGCAAAAAGTTAAGAAATACAGGTGAAAGCTAGAGTTATTTAATTTTTATTAGAAGAGAAGATGGTACCAAAGGAAAAAATAAAAAAAGAACGCCCAGCTAGATCACTTAAACCCCCATGTGATAATAAATGTAAGCTAGAGTGTTTTGAAAAAATATCTGAAAATAAAAGAATAAAAATATTTGAAGATTACTGGTAGTTGAGTGTTTAACAAAAAAAAAATTATGTCTTTAAACATGCAAACAATTACGCTAAAATATAAATATAGCAATGTAGAAAACCCACGGAAACCAAATAATACATACTATTTTATTATAGATAACAGAAATGTAAGAGCGTGTAAAACATTTTTTATCTCAACGCTAGATATCAATAATAAAGTGATTTAACAAAAAACAAAAACATTGTGACAGTGGAATTGTATTAGAAAGTGACAAATGTGGAGAGCATAAAAACCATCACAAAGTTGATAAGAATATAAAAAATGATATGAGAGATTACATACGGTCCATACCACGTATTGACAGTCACTATTATCGCTCTCATACAAAAAAAAGTACATAGAGGCAAGTAAAACAATAGCAGATTTACATCGCGACTATAAGAAAATATGTAAAGAACAGAAGAAACCAACTGCAAACTATTTAATGCTCTATAAGATATTTAATATTGCATTCCATTTACAAAAAAAAAAAAAAATAGTACGAATTGTGTTGGTAATACAGCAATACAGATAGTAAACAAGAGAAAATAGCTGTGTTGGAAAAATATGAAATTCACATAAGAAAGAAAGATATAAGCAGAATAGAGAAAGAAGCAGATAAAAACAATGAAGATCCATTTACAAAAGTTATCGTGTATGACATGCAAGCCATACTACCTATGGTAATATACTGTTGGAGAAGCATCCTCCTTCTATTATATTTCAAAACTAAATATTTTCAACTTTACTTCGTATGACATAAAGAGTAATGAAGAAACCTGTTATCTATGGCATGAAGCAGAAGCATATTGTGGAACAAACGATACCGGTAGTTGCATTTTGAATTTTTTTTAAAAGATGTATGAGATTACGGATACTGTAGCCAAAACAAAAATAAGTTTGTCTTCGATAGTTACCTGATTCAATAAACCATTTAATATAAAATCCATTACACATAAGTTTTTGATGACAAAACATTCTCAGAACAAAGAAGATAGTGTTTATGCAACTATAGACAGAGAAATTAAAAGATACAAAAAATAAAATTCAATTTATGCTGCAGATGTCTTATACGCTCAGTTAAAAAAACTGGAATGTACATGAATTAAATAAAAAGCCGGCTTTTTCATTTAGTTAGTACATTCATTTGATTAACAATTTTTTGTTAGTGTGAATAAATAATTATTAGTAGTATTAGTATTTTAACACGCTTCCGATTCCACTTACAAAGAATCAGGAAGTCTGTGTGGCGCTATGATGTTGAGTTACGAATAGGGGTTGCTCGGGCGCCAGTTTTGGTAACACAGTTTGCTCTGGGACCCTGTAGCACACCAAAGTGTACTCAAGGTGAACTTAGTGGAGTAAAAATAAAATTCCAGGCGGTCACTGCTAATAGCCCAGAGCCCACTGCAAATTTTTACCGTCATCTGATAACGAAATGAAATATACCCCAAAAGCATGGAAAAACATTGTACTTTACCAAATGGCACCTGTGCCAATCCCAATCCTAAACAAAGTGGCTTAAAACAATTATTTTATATTAAAAAAATCACATAGGGCATGACAGCGCTAATTTTCTTTGCCCTTAAAGTTTTCCAGAAAATAACAATCAAATATATCTTGATATATATCGTTAAAGGGAAACAGTTTCTTCCTTCTACCATCGCAGAAAAACATCTATCCACGATTAGTAGATAAAAATCATTAAAAATATGAATGAATGTTTGCTGATTTAAAAATTTATTTGTATGCCTATTGTTGTAATATAAAATAATTTTTTAAAGCCACCTTTGCTCAGGATTTGGATTGGCACAGATGCTATTTGGTAAAGTACAATGTTTATCCATGCTTTCGGGGTATATTTCATTTCGTTATCAGATGACGATCGAAATTTACAGTGGGCTCTTATACTATAAAGGTAACTGCTAAATTAGAATTAAAGCACTTATCTTCCTTATATCTTGTACTCTACGGTACCCTGAAAGAAAACAGTCGAGAGCCGGTAATAAAAGAAACTCAGGGATAAATAATAAAATATATATTTAAAAAAAAAATAACACTTCGGTCGGGTATTGGTTTCCTCGGTATACGGAACAATTTCCTAACAAAAAAACAACAGTTAGAAGGATCGGTTGAATTATACAAGGAAATTAAATGACCAAACAATCAAACGGGAATTTATAACTCCCCCTGTATACAGAAAATAAATTTTTACCTAAATTAAAATTGTACATCAACAGTATAATTAACTCCCCCAAAAAAAAATAAAATTGAAATAATTAACGGTTCAAAATAGCAGAAACAATTAAGCTCATCATTTTTTACATTAACTAAAAATAGTTTTCAAAACCAAACAGGTTGAATTAAACAAACGGTTCAAAATTTAGGAAGCACTATATACAGCAAATAAAGTTTTTTAAATTAAAGTTAATATTCAAAAACAAATAAATCCAATTAGATAAACGGATAAAAGTTTAGGAAACAATTATGCTTCAACCTGAATACGGAAAATAAATTTACTAAAAGAAAATGAATTTACAAAAAAAAAAAGAATTAAACAATCGGTTTGTAATCCAGGAGGCAATTATGCTATACCCTGTATATAGAAAATAATTTTTCACATAAATTAAAATTAATTTTCAAAACAAATAAGTTGAATTAACTAAACGGAACAAAATTTAGGAAGCGGTTATGCTCCACCCTATATATGGAAAAATTGATTTACAGGAAAAATAAGTTGAATTAATAAGCGGTTCAAAATCCAAAAGTCAATTATGCTCCAAGCTGTATACGGAAAATAAATTCACTTTACGAAAAACTAATTTTCAAAACAAATTAGCTAGACTAAAGCAGGAGATTTTCTTAAAAAAAAACAACTACCAAGTGAAATTAAACGGTATCAAAATTTTTCGACACTCGGGCATATGAAAAATAAAATTTTACAAGGAACGGAATTAATGCACAGCGCTGGGCATTTGATCGATGTCAACAAGAAATCTCGTTTACGCGACGAAAGCGACTTTCGAGCCTTTCGTCCGGCGTTTGTAAAATTATTATAGATGGAGAGAAATGCTATCGGGGGTGGACGGTGGCTCAACCAAGATGTTTTACAACACTAGATCGCGATAATTGAATTAACAAAAATTTTAAAGAAAGAAAATGATCGCGTCAATATAATAAAAAAAAAAAATGAATGTTTTACTGTGCGGGGTTGCAAAGCTTTCCGGGGTAGAACCTATCCAAGTGATCCGTAAATGGCTCAACCAGGAGACTTTCGACAACGCTGAAACATGATGATTTGACTAATAATACAAAAGAATTAAATACTCAACTAGGCGAAGAGATGAGAATGGCAATTTTGCATAAGAGAAAAGATTAAATTATATTGAACGGCCTACCTTAATTAATAATTTGAATTACTGGAGCTAACGGTTCACTAACTCGTATCCTGATCACAAACAGAAAAGAGCTTCGGCGACTGAAAACTTAATGGTCACTTCGGTGGTAAAAAAGGTAAGGTCTTGTAATTTTGTCGCCCTTATACTTATGCCTTTTTCAACTATGACGCTACACGTCGACCAGTTCGGAGTGGGGCAACCACCACCGGTCTTCGGAATATTTACTATTTGTATAAAATTCGGTGTTTTATTACGAATATGATTTTACAATACACGAGAGTATTTTAAACTACAGGGACTCGCTCAGCCATTCAGGACGTGCGATGGCCAGGGAATCAAATATGCCTCTTTAAAGAGTACCTGTGCGAAAATTATTTAAAATATACATTTTTAAAATGAATTAACAATAAAATTTAGTGACTTTGTCACAGTATATTATTTTTTGTTAATTTTGCTTAAACTAAATCAATATTCCATCATTATTTAGTTTTTTAATTTTAATGGTTTAATTTTTGCCTAACAACTTAAAACTCATCAATTCACCCTTTTCTCTTACCCACTAGGTGTGTCTGATGATGAAGTAAATAAACTTCGAAACCGGTCGCGTTCAAATACAAATTTCTTTGTGAGGTATAAAAGACCTGTTTTCTTTTTTTTTCCCACCATTAAAATATTTTAGATTAGCCTACATTTTGTTGTAAAATACTGATAAGTTTTCTGTTATTTAATTTAAATGAAAATAGACAAGCGTGTGCCAAAGTTACTTTCCCCACGTGTGTGCCAATAATGTCAAATTATGACAATTCGCGGAAAACGTTAACTTTCTAGTTAGATTTAAATGTACAAAAGCATACTTTGGATCATGGAGACTACACAAGAAGCACGCACTCAAGGGTGGCATTTGCCAGAGTATGTCCGCGCTTTATCGTATAAATAAAGCTTTCTTTTTTCACCACTAGCGTCGCTAATTTTTCTTTTGTACCGGTGTGAATATAGAGGAATAAACAAATGTGAAGTTAGCGTGAAAAAAAGTAACCGATTATTTAATTAACGTAAACACGTGTCAAATGTTTTTAAATTAAATAAATATAATTAGAGTTATAATTAATTAATTAATTAATAATTAATTAGAATTATTTATTTTATTTCAAACTACCGCCTCATTCCATTATGCCATTTTGGTACTTATGGAACACTAGCGCCCTCTTAAAATACTCTGTTTAACACAGTACGCTTGTAATACATGGAGTGCGTGCTCCTTGTGTAGTCTCCATGCTTTGGATAGTGATCGTAGAAAAAAAAAATTAAGATATTTTAGTAGGGATCTATTATTGTTTTATTTATCTTTCTATTACATTATTATGGTACCCATCAACAATCACTGACCATAATGTAACAAATTTTCTTTCACTCATGCAGCATTAAAAGAAAAAGTATACGGGGGAAAACAATTACATTAAAATTTATAAAATAAATTATAACAACAACTTCTAATATACCATTACTAAATATAACATTTGTTTATGTCATTTTGATAATATTGTGATGTTTGTTTATTTTAAACAACAGTTTATTTATTACTAATTTATTTAAACACTTATATATTTATAACAATACTATTCTAATTTATATATTTCGAATGTCTTTGAATTGTTGACTATTTATATTCACTATCTATAACTGATTCCGCGTTGATGTTCTACCAATATTTATATACAAATTTAAAATTATGGTGAAGGTTCCAGAATGCTCCTTCTCCAAACTAGAAATATCTCGTTATATTTGGAATACACTAAAAACATTATCCCGTTCTTTTTCGAATAGTAATCGAAAGCTTTTATGCCATAGTCGTCACATATGTTTGGTCTTAACGGGTTTAATTATGTATGATAATCTAAAAAGTTAAGCCATAAAGTCCAAATAAGACAGAGATGGACTTGGAGGATTAGAGCATGACTGAATAATGAAATGGCTTATATTACATTGCTCCCTCCTTAAGAGATAGTTCCTCCTGGAACTCTTACGAAACTAAAATGGAATGGTTATATCTGCAACTGAATCCTCTTTTACAATTTCCAGTTGCATGGAAGTAACAAGGGACTGTCTTCGCTGTAACTTGGGCACTGGGCGAATGGCTGCAGACCAGTATTTGGACTCCGATATCTTGAAAAATTACTTCCACCATGTTCCTAATGATCCTTCAATCCATCTGATTTCCTTCTATCTTTGGCATGGCTAGTTTCTATACATTGGACTCCCGTACGTGGTCCCTTAAAATAAGTTAT